AACCCCCCCACCCCCACCCACAGCAGGAGAGGGCTGCTGCCCCGCTGCCCCAGGGAGGAGACATGGTGCCCCCTCCTCTCCACTCACCTGGGCCTCTGGGAGGGGTCCCGGGCGTCCTTCATGCTGAACCAGCTGCTGCTCTTCTCTCCCTCCGGCCCCCCGTGCCCCGCGCCCTCCGCCACACGGCTCTTCCCAGCATCCTCTTTGGTGCCACCCCGACGGAAGAAGCCGGCCTTGGCTCCCTTCTCCTCCTCCTTCCGGGCTTCCTCTGGGGGCCGGCCCCTCCCGGCGCCGGCCGAGAACACCATGGGCAGGGCTACCTGGACGGGCTTGGCCTCCGCCGGCGCCCCCTCCTCCATCTTGGCCCTGCTCCGCTGCTTGTGGAGGGCCAGCGTCTTGACGGAGAGCTTGTCTTCTTCCTGGGCGGCCAGGATGGGCGGGGAGGGGATGAAGCGGGGAGGGTCTTTTTGGGGGGGCCTCTGGAAGCTGCTGCCGGACCACGGGGGCAGCTCTGAGTCGGGGGCCGGGGGCCCAGTGCCGAAGCTCTCCGCCGGCGGCTTCTTGGGCCGGCTCAAAGGAGCGGCGGGGCGGGGAGAAGGCTCCTCGCAGTAAACATGGCTCCCGTTGATGCAGAGGGAGGACCGGGAGATGGGCTCGCTCTGGGGCTTCAGGCTCTGGACCGATCTGGACTCCGGCAAGGGGTTGATCTGGGAGACCTCGTCGCTGAAGGCCCTCTTGTGGGTCAGCTTCGGGGAAGGCAGGAAGTCTCTCACTGGGGGGGAAGGAGGGAAGAGCCAGTGAGACCCCCCGCCCCCCCCCCCCCCCCCCGTCAGCCCTGCCTTCCTGGAGGGGCACCGGTCGTGGGGCCCCCCTCCCCAGCCAGCCTCCTCCCTGCTCACCCCACCAAGGTGCACACCCGGAGGCCAGGAAACGGGGCGCCACCAACGGAGGGGCTGCCCAAGGGATTCACGGGGTTTGCAGCACCGCCGGGAGAGGGGAGCACGGAACCCCGTGTGGGGCAGGTCCCCCAGGGGCCAGGCTGGAGGGGGCAGTCCCTCATCCACGGCAGAAGCAGGCATCCGGAATGCCACCAGGAACGGGCAACCCCTCTGTGGGCCACTGTAAACGCCACAACTGGACATCTCCAGCAGAGAACCCAAAGGTCACCCAGCGCCAAGCACACACCCCCAGGCCCCGTGCAGCCTGGCGACAGCGCCTCCCTCCCCTGGCGCTCACAACTCCCCCTACTTTCAGTGGCCAGGGCCTGAGGCGTGAAGGCCCCCAGAGACTCTGCACAGGCCAACCCTAACCCTAACCAAGCCATAGAGAGGAACTCTGGGTCTGGGGGCAAGGGATGCCCTGTCTTCTTGGTGCTGGGGGGGGGGCAACAGTGGGAGGGCTTCTGGAGTTCTGGTCCTGATGCTGAACCTCCCGATGGCACCTGGTATTTCTGGCCACTGTGTGACACACAGAGTGTTGGACTAGATGGGTCATTGGCCTGATCCAACATTGGCTTCTCTCTTATGTTCTTATGTCTGGGGCAAGTGATGCTCTGTCTTCTTTGTGCCTGGGGGGGGGAGAACAGTGGGAGGGCTCCTAGTGTCCTGGCCCCACTGCTGGACCTCCTGATGGCACCTGGTGTTTTTGGCCACTGTGTGACACAGAGTGTGGGACTGGATGGGCCACTGGCCTGATCCAACATGGGCTTCTCTTATGTTCTTGTGTCTGGGGCAAGGGATGCTCTGTCATCTTGGTGCTTGGGGGGGTCAACAGTGGGAGGGGCTCCTGGTGTCCTGTCCCCACTGCTGGACCTCCCGAAGGCACCTGGTATTTTTGGCCACTGTGTGACCCAGAGTGTTGGACCGGATGGGCCACTGGCCTGATCCAACGTGGGCTTCTCTGATGTTGGACTGGATGGGCCATTGGCCTGATCCAGCATGGGCTTCTCTGATGTTCTGATGTGAGCCACGTAAAGCCAAGGCTGTGCCGCCGCCGGCCTCTTCTTACCGGAGCGGTCGGGAGGGAGGCTGCCATGCCGGCTGGGGGAGGGGGCCGCCGGGGACTCCGAGGCAGCCACGCCCGCCACGCTGCTGGCCGAGGAGACGGTGCTGTCGGAGCCGAGGGAGGTGCTGGACTGGGTCAGAGAGGACTTGCGCAGCTTGTTCTTGAAGAAGAAGCCGCCGCCGCCGCCTTTGGCCTTCTTGCCGCCCAGGCCCAGGTCTTCCTCGAGGGCCCCGCTGCTCGAGGGCACGATGGCCGAGGCCGATTCCAGGTCGTACTGCCGCCGGCCCTTCATCTTGTCCCTCAGCTTGCCGAAGGGCGACCGGGGCTTGTCCTTGACGGACAGGTCAAACATGCTGGCCGTCAGGCTGTGGCGGGTGAAGTGGATGCTGACCTGGATCTCCCCGCGCTCCTTCTCCTTCTTCCCGGGCTTGGAGTGGAGCCGGTGCCATCTGCAGGTGGGGGGGGGGGAGAAGAGACAACACTGGCCGGTCAGCTCAGGCCTCAGATCCACCCGACGTGGTTCTGACTTGCACCGGATCAGGCCTGCCTTCAGCCTCTCAGCCTGACCCACTAGTAAAGCCTGCTGAAGCCGTACCTCCGAGGCGGCAAGAAACACCCGGCGCATGCGCAGACAGCACTAGCGGACGAGCAGACACCGCAAAGCATCTCTGGTGTGTGATTAGTTCTCAAAGCCCATCGTCACAGTTTGTCTGGTGAGCAGAGAGCGCCGGGAGGTTTTAGAACCGCCGTTTTGATTGCCCCCAGCAACTCTTTGCCCATCTGGGACCAGCACAACCCCTGGTCTGTGGGGCCCGCTTTAGGGGGGACCACCCTTCCTCCAGCACACACGCTTCTGCATGCCCCTCCCCCATTTTATCCCCAAAGCACCCCTTGTGGGGTAAGTGGGGCTCAGAGAGGGCACCAGGTCTCAGGTCACCTAGAGACCTTCATGGCAGTGCAGGGATTTGAACCCAAGTCTTTCCCCAGCCCAGCACTAGCCGCTTCACCACCAGTGTTCCCTCTAAGCTGAGTGAGTGTGAGCTAGCTCACAGTTCTTTAGCCTCCAGCTCCCAGATTTTTGTCTCAGCTCAGGATAGGTGGCTCCAGAGCAAAGTAATTGATGCAGCAGCCAGATCGCTTGCTCAGAACTTTAATGCCAGGAGCCCACAAAGTAGTTTTGCTCACAGGACTCCGCAGCTTAGAGGAAGCACTGGTCACCACCCAGCCTGTCCCTAGCAAACACTGCCAACTGCCTGTGCGACACATCTCAAATCCACTGCCCAGACCTGCGCCCTGTACCCTGCCTGAGATCTGCCTCCCCTTTTATAATCGTACAGAGAACTTCCTCTCAAGGGGTTCTCTACACACAAACACACACAATCTCATGTTCTTCAGCAGAGTCAGCACAATCACAGAGGGGGATGCAGCGATGCAGGCTCACAATTCTGCACCCCGTCAACAGCAGGCGAGCTGGACTCCCGTCCAAGGAGGAGCAGGGCTTCAGGGCACCAGAAGCAGGCAAGAAGAGAAGAGATTGGATTTATGCCCCCGCCTTCACTTGGGAATCTCAGAGCAGCTTACAATCTCCTCTCCCTTCCCCTTCCCCTGTGAGGTCGGCAGGGCTGAGAGAGCTCTGACAGAAACTGCTCTTTTTTCAAGGACAGCTCTGACAGAACTACGCCTTGCCCAAGGTCATCCAGCAGGTGCAAGTGGAGGAGTTGGGAATCAAACCCAGATCTCCCAGATTAGAGTCTGCGCACTTAACCACCACACCAAACTGGCTCTTGAGAGGCCTCCTGGGCCTTCCCTCCGCCCCGGGCAGAACCAGCTTCACCTCCCCAGCCAGAAAACAACGACCACACAGGCCTTCAAAACCCGGAAGCGTCTTTTGAGAGGGAGGGGCCCGCCCACATGCATTCTCTGCGGTGACTCCCCACCTTGTGGAACGGCCTGCCTGAGGTCAAGAAGCCCCCCCCCACACACACACACACATACTTTGTTCATTCCACAGAATGTGCAAGACAGAAATGTTCGGGGGGGGGGCATTTTTATCAGGGGATTAGAGCAGCAGCGGCACATGGAACAGTCCAGGGGGGGGCACCTTTATAACAGAAGGGGATTGTAGTCCGCCGCGGGGATTAGACTATGTAACACCGGCTTTCCCAGCATTGTCCTGAACCTCGTAATCCACTTTCTGTACTGTAAAGGAATGAAGCCCCCATTCGAAAAGGGCCACTTTAAGGACACCGGGCTTTCTGCCGCGGATTCAAGAGCCCCGTGAAGGCCAAGGGACATTTATTGCGGCTTCAGCTTGCCTGGGCTGCAGGGAGTTCTGGGTCACCGACGCTACTAATGGGGGAGATGCTGTCAGCCCTTAAGGCGTCCCCGGGAGCCGCCACAGGGCACCACAGCAACTCATTTGGAATCAGCAAGCACAACATATTACCTGCATGGGGCAGGGAGAGGAGAAGACTCAACTAGCTTGGGAGTGGAGACCAAGGCTCCCTCTCAGCTGTGGAGTCTCATGTGCAAAACTTCTGCTTTGTGAGCTTCTGGCATTGAAGTGGTGAGCAAGCGATTTGGCTGCTGCATAAATCAGTTTGCTCTGGAGCCCCCCTTCCCTGAGCTAAGACAAGAATGTGTGAGCCGGAGGAGGCTAAAAAACTGTGAGCTGGCTCACACTCCCTCAGCTTAGAGGGAACACTGGTTGAGACTGAATCCAAGCAGACGAAGCGCTTGATGTAGAAATCCCCCCAAACCTGAACCCAGACCCCAGGATCTGCTGAAGCCCTTTAAATCTGGCAGGAGGAGAGGGAGGGAGAGGGGGTGGCTGGGTAGGGGGTCACGCTTGGGGGCGGGGATCCCCCCCCCCGCCAGCTGGCTGTGGACAGACTGGAGCCCCCAAAGCAGGGGGGGAACCCCACCCGGACCAGGCAACCCTAGAGGCCGAGAAGAGAAGGGAGCAGCCAAGCCCAACGGCCCCTCCTGGACCTCAGCTGGAGGGGGAACCTGGGTCTCCAGGTCCCTTGGGCCTCTGATGTGGAGGAGCGGCTCACCCGGTCCTCCTCCACCTGTTGGGGTGCCCTCTGCTTCTCCCTTCTGCCCCCCCCCGCGCCAGCAGCAGCCCCCCCCCCCAACTGCCTCCTTCCTGCCATGGTGCTGAGAGCACTTAAATAGGCCCTCGCCCCCCCCCTTTATATCCTCCACCCCCTCTTGCTTGGGCCAGTCAGCCCCTTGGAGGTATTTCCCCACCTCCTTTCAGCTGGGACCCCGCCTCCTCGTCCTCTCCTGGCCAACCAGCTCCGCGGCCTCCACTGTGCCCCGCCCAGTACATTCCTGCATTCCCTGCTGCTGGGGGGACGGCCCACTGGACCCCCGGGACAGCCCATCATGGGGGTCTCGCTACGGCGAGTGGGGGTATCGACCTACCTACCCCCTCCAGGACAGATCTGCACTGCAGGCTTCTAGCTTAGTGCATGTTATCTTCAGAAAAAATAAAAGTTTAAAATGGGGGGGGGGATTTTGTAGTAAAGAAAAGGAGGTGCATTCTTTGGAAAGAAACAGCCACAGATGGGCCGATCCGCATCTCTGGATATCGTTAAAGTTAAGAACATTGACAAGCTATGCTCCCTCTAAGCTGTGGAGTCTTGTGAGCAAAGATTCTACTTGGTGAGCTCCTGGCATTAAAGTGGTGAGCGAGCGATTTGGCTGCTGCATAAACTAGTTTGCTCTGGAGCCCCGTCCTTCCCGAGCAAAGACAAAAATGTGTGAGCCGGAGGCTAAAGAACTATGAGCTCACTCACACTAATTCAGCTGAGAGGGAACACTACTGACAAGGAAGAACTCCATCACCTATGAGCCTGCGTACACAGCTCCCATTTTCCTGCCTCAACCCCCCACACACGCAAGTCAGTGGCCCAAGGCTCCCGTGAGCTTCCTGGCAGTGGGGAGGTTTGAATGCGAGTCGCCCAGCTCCTAGGGTTCGACTGCATGGTCACATTTCTTCACTTGTTTTCCTGGGTTCCCTGCAGCCACGGGGAGGCTGTGGAGAGCTGATTCTTTAGGCGGAGGAGAGCCCAAAAGGGGTTTGGAATGGCACTGCGGGGGAAGGGAGGGCTCCTGGCCTCCCCCCAGGAGTTTTCTCATGTGAGAAAACTGCTGTGGGGGGGAGGGGATTTCACAGATTTTGCCGTTCCGCTTGGAGTATCTGCACTCCGCTCAGCTGAGCCCTCTCGCAGGAGGCGGCTGCCAGCACCTTCCAGCACAAATAGCCCTAAGCTCCGCACAGCGCCACCGAGGTGAAGCCCTTCCGATCCAGTGGGGGTCTCGGCGATGCAGCTCCACCCTAGGCAAACACGGACATAGATAATGAACAGACCGATCCAATGGGTTGGGGAAAATCCCTTTCCATACATGGCCAACGGGCAGCACGTCCCTCTGGAATGCAGAGCGTCTTGAAACCGACTCACATCCCGGCCCTGCCAAATCCAGCTCAGCTTCTCTCCGCGGGCTGCTCTCGGAGCTCTAGAAAAATCCCTTTTGCTGACTCACTCGTGCCAGGAAGGGCAGGGATGCCCTGTGCTCCCGCAGAACCCACAGAGGATGACGGGGAGGAACGGGGGGGCCTCCCCACGGCTCCTTGGCCAGCCCACCTGTTCCGCGGCCTGCAGCGAGCTGGGCCCAAAAGGTCCCAACGTGAAGAGCCACCAAGAAAATCCTTTACCACAGCCGGGCAAGGTGGCCAAGAATGCCCTCCGGTTCCCAGATGCCGGGGAGGGAAGGGGAAGGGGTCAGTGCAGGTCATGCGGCCAAGGGCTGGCCCAGGCAATAGGAGACCAGCACAGCCGAGCACCGGAGGCCGTCTCCAGAGGCCAATGCTCCCCCACCGGCCAAAGCAGGTGAGCAGGTCAGCCGTGGAGCCTCCCCGGCCCTGCCCAGAACCTGGCTGAGCAGGAGGACTGCAGCACCGCCCAGCCCTGGGGAAAGTATGACAGCCCCACAACAGAAGAGCCCGTGTGGTGTAGCAGTTCAGGGTGTCCAACCGGTATCCGGAAGACCCAGGTTCAAATGCCCTGGAAGCTCGCTGGGTGACCCTGGGCCAGGCACACTCTCTCAGCCCAGCCTACCGCACAGGGTGGTCGTGAGGGTAAAGCAGAGGAGAACGATGCAAGTCACTTTGGGTGCCCATTAAGGGAGAAAGATGGGAGTATCACTTAATCAAAGAAGTAAAAAAAGAGGGTCTGAAGGGAGACTTGCTGAGGTCAGCTCGCCAAGTGGGTAACAACCCCAGCAGGAGGGTGACGGAGGAGCACAACCCGCTGGATTGGGGGGGGGGGGGCTCATGGCTTTAAGGAAGAAACCTGCTGCTGGTTTGCACTGAAGCAAACAAGGGTGCCACATCTCCTGTTTGGTGTAGTGGTTAAGTGGAGGCGGACTCTAATCTGGGAGAATCGGGTTGGATTCCCCACTCCTCCTCCACTTGCACCTGGCTGGATGACCTTGGGCAAGCCCTAATTCTGACAAGAGCTGTTCTTGAAAAAAGAGCTGTTTCTCTCAGCCCCACCTACCTCACAGGCAATGTTCCCTCTAAGCTGTGGAGTCTTCTGAGCAAAAATTCTACTTGGTGAGCTACTGGCATTAAAGTTGTGAGTGAGCGATTTAGCTACTGCGTAAATTAGTTTGCTCTGGAGCTCTCCTTCCTGAGCTAAGACAGAAATGTGTGAGCCGGAGGCTAAAAAACTGTGAGCTATCTCGCACTAACTCAGCTTAGAGGGAATACTGCTCACAGGGTGTCTGTTGTGGGGAGGGGAAGGGACAGGAGTTTGTAAGCCGCTCCGAGAGTCCCTTGGGTAGTGAAGGGCAAGGGGTATGAATCCAATCTCCTCCTCTTCTTCCTGCCTCTCTGCACATGCGCAGAGCAGAGCAGGACAGCCAGGAGAACTCACCCAGGGGTGAAGCAGATTCCTTTTTAGAGTGGAGACCTGGCCCGGGGAAGGGGTCGGAATGCAAGCTCTCTCTTCTGCCTTCCCTTTCTCCCCTGCAGCCCAATCACTGCACCCATCAGTCAGTCCTCTCATGCCCCAGACGGCACTGGCAGGGTGGAATCCCCCTCCCCACTGGTGAGGCCATAACCCCTGCCCCTTTGCCCATCACCTGACTTCACAGCGGGCTGTCAGCCCCAGGCCAGGCTGAAGACTGGCCACCTTTCAGTCACCACCACTAAAATGGTAATTCCCCAAAGTTGCGGAGAGCCACATCCGACATCCACACACGTGGAAGGGGTGGCCCTCCGCCGTGTCCAGGGCGCAGGCCTTCTTCCCAATTGACAGTATCTGCCCCCTGAATTCCTCTGTTGTGTCCCTGTGGTCTGGCCCGAATGAACGGAATTGGACAGAGTTTGTTTTTTGTACAGATTGGGAAAATCTTTCTGCAACCTGGAGGGTTCTCAGAAGTTTCAAAAACGAACAAGGCCGGGGGGGGGGGGGGGGGGAG